GTTTTGTTGTATATAAATGTGTTTTGTTTTTGTTTTTTTTAATGAAATTAAAGTTAATAAGTAAAATTTATTAAATGCAGAATGTTTTGCCACAGGAGGATGAAGATGAAGACGAAGATATTGACCGCTTGGTGAGCTTTCACAAGATGACGATGGCGAGGAGCTCGTCCAGCCTGCAGAGCTCAAAGGTAACGTTTCCCACATTCAGCTGTTTTTCTCATAACAGAACCTTCCAGAACCATCATTAAACTCAGGATTTCCTCAGAAGTGAGGAAGTCTGACTTATTTCTGAGTTATTCAAGGTTTTAAACCTGTMTTTAGCCTTTAGAGAACGCCTGACTAATAATTCTCTACAAGTCAATAAACTGAACAAATGCAGGCGTTCACGATTCCTCCTGTGAATTTGTTCAGAGCACGCTGGGCAGCCTGACGAGCATTTACAGCGACTCAGGAGACTTTGACAGCGTGGAGGTGAGCGGTGACGTCGTCTTCTCTGTGAGCTACGACGAGCACACTCAGAGCCTTCAGGTCTTCATCAAGGAGTGTCACGAGCTGGCCTTCGGTGARGCTTCACGCCAGCTCTCCAACCCGTGAGTCTTCAGCTCCTCTGACTWTAAGCGGACAAAACATTTGATTTAAAACAGAGCTGGCTCAAACTCTGACTTCATCAAGCAGCAGGACTGAAAGTGTCTGAAAATCTATTTTCCAGCCCACGCCCCGTTCGTTGTAAATTAGTTTCTGTTTAGTCTCTGTCCCAGTGGTGATTAGCTGAGCTTCACAGGAAATGAAATGTCAACAGAATCATTTTTTTTCTGTTTCCTTTAGGCAGGAAATGCTGTTAGTTGTGGCCAAAAGAACCAAGCTTTGATGTTGGTTTGTGTTTTTTTTTTTTTTATGTTTCAGTTACGTAAAATGTTATCTGCTCCCTGATAAATCCCGTCAGAGCAAGAAAAAGACCACCATCAAGAAAAAGACCATCAACCCCGTCTACAACGAAACGTTAAAGGTGAGGGTCTGACTCCCTGATCGGCCTCCTCACTCTACCTGTTAAATACAGACCAGACCTGCWGCGACCGGACGCTTCATGTTGACTCTGCAGGAAAGTTCAGCTGTTGTCAAATATTGATTTTTTTTTTTGTTTTTGTTTTTGTTTCCTGCTTCTTTTGGAGATGAATAAAACTGCTGACGTGGAAGCAAATCTCAAAACTTTAGATTTTATTTAAACTTTAGAAGAAAAACATTTTTTAAAAGATGTGGTTTTGTTTTTGTCTCGCCTCCAGTATTCAGTCAGTCGCTCTCTGCTGGCCACTCGCTCGCTGTTGATCTCCGTTTGGCACCACGGCCGTCTCAGCAGAAATACGTTTTTGGGTGAAGTGGAAGTTCCTCTGGACCTGAGAGACCTGGACTCACCGAGTGAGGACCGCCTGCGTCTCATGGGGAAGGTAGAGCAGAAGACCTGACTGTATCTGTGGAACTTGATTTATTTTATGTCCTTGTTGGTCAAAACTAAAGAGCCGCAGGTTGTAGACCCCTGTTCTAGTTTATATCAAACTGCAGCATGTTTTTMATGTTCTTAAAACAGTTAAACAAAGATTTTTATACATTACAGAGAATTTAAACCTGTTTTTTTTTTTGTCCCTTGTTTTTTGGAACAGACTGATTTTTACTTGTTACTTCAGTTCCTCTGAGGATGTAAACCTAAAAGTGGAACAAGTTTGTTTTTCTAACATTACTGACTGAAGGATATGAGAGAGAAGCTAAAACCAGATTAGATTATTGATCAGCTGTGAGGACAGGTTTTATAGATCTCAGTAATCCAGTATTGATGCTCGTCTTTCAGGTTTCTGTTCTAACGATGATTGATTTTTCTTTAACAGGCTGGTTCTTCTGCTCAACCTTCAGCTTTCTCTCAGCACAAAGGAGAGCTCGTGATCTCACTGAAGTACATCACGCCTAAAAACACGACAGCCGAGAAAACCAAAGGTAAATAAAACGACTTCTAGCTTTAGTTTTGGTTGATGCACAAATGTCTGAACGTCCGTCCTCCCCGCAGGTAAAAAATCAGCGTCTGATGAAGGAGAGCTTCATGTTCTCATTAAGGAGGCGAAGAACTTGGTGGCGATAAAAGGAGGCACGTCCGACAGCTTTGTGAGAGGGTCAGTGGGAACCTTAAAACCTCATTAAAGGTCTTCAGAACAAGAATTACTCTTCTTTAATTCTCTTGGATTTGGCTCTGCAGGTACTTGTTTCCAGCAAAGGCAAAGAATGCAAAGAGGAAGACCCCGGTGGTGAAGAAGAACCTGAACCCTCAGTACAACAGCACGTTTGTGTATAAAGACGTGACTCTGGAGGAGCTGAGGGGGGCGTGTCTGGAGCTGACGGTGTGGGACAGAGAGGCCATGCTGAGCAACGAGTTCCTGGGAGGAGTCCGCCTCAGCTCAGGAAAAGGTTCAGATTTTCTTTTCAGCTCAACAAAAAGCATTTTTTATTTAGTAACTCATCAAACAGCTTCACTCTGAGAGGATCTGTTCATATTTTACACAACAGTTCAGACTCAGAGCTCTAAAAGTGAAGATGAATGTGTTCATTAATTTAAAAAATCAGATTTAGTTTATTGCAAAAGCATCACTTCCTGAATAATTCTAGATTTCTGTTGCAGTTTTTTCCCTCCTTTTTAGGAGCACATTAGAATTAGGTCTTCACTAATCATAATAAAACACCACTCTGTGTGTAATCTTACTCTCTGCAGTCGCTGTAAAAACAGGAAAAGAGGAAGTGGAGCTGGATTCTGTCGGAGAGGAAATGAGTCTGTGGCAGAAGATGATGCAGTACCCTGACTCATGGGCAGAGGGCACTCTGTCGCTGCGATGCACCATGGGTAAACCCACAGACAAATGAAGGACGGATCCGACACGTGGAGAAGGTT